AATCAGTATATCCCTATATCTAATTAAGGAAACTATAAAAAAAAATAAAAATTCACTTATGTCAAAGCAAAAATTCATGAATTTATTAGGATTTATGCATTTCATGTTTATAATTTAACTTTCAAGTTCATTCAAATAAATGTTTTTTTACACTAGTCTAAGTAAAAATTAAAATAATCATTAGACCTTACAAAATTCAAACCATTTTAGGTATAAAAGCAAAGACATCCTAATAAAATTTAATAACTGACAAAGCTGAGAGAAATAAAGAAATATGTGACAAATATAAAAAAAACATCATACTTATTATAAAACCCAGGTTGTGTGTGTGTCTGTTCGTTTATATATTGAATCGGATTTTCTTCATTTTTCAACCAATTTCAACAAAACTTCTCAGGAATACGTAAAATTACCTTGTGGTGTTTCTGACAGCACCAAAAATTGGAAAAACACAATTGTTTTTGCACGAAATCAATTTGAAAACATGATTAAAGGGCATCACGAGAATGAAAGGGGGACAACTCATATCGAGTTATACTTATTATAAAAACCTAGATTGTTTGTGTGTGTGTGTGTGTGTGTGTTCATTTATATATGGGATCGGATTTCCTACATTTTTCAACCAATTTAAACAAAACTTCGCTTTTTTTTTTGGCAGGTAGTGTTTCTTATTGTCTTGCACACTTTTTTCTATATTTTTACATTCAGAATGCTTTAAAAATTCCATTTACAAGACAATTGTTTATAATAAAATTCTATTCGATCGGTAGACTCATAACGATTGAAAACAATGTTTTTCTTTGAGTTTGGGTTTGACCAATTCGTAAAAAAAACAAAACAAAACAAAACAAAAAAAAACTAATTAAGACATGCGTGTCCATCAACCTTAAACAATAATCTTTGTCAATTTTATTTTTTTTTTTATGATGGTTAATACTTGATCTATCTCTTACTGTTACATCCCCAGGCAACGCCGGGCTCTACTGCTAGTTACTAATAAAAATTGACGTCATCTAAGAAATTCACACAACTTAAAACTACAACTACTCGGTCTTAAAAAGAAATAAGTGACAATACTTAAGTCAAAATAATAATAATAATAATAATAATAATAATAATTAACAACGCTCAATTGAAGAAATTTAGACAAAATTATTACTCCTAAGTGTAAAAAGCAAGAGAAAAAATAAGAAGGAAACACTAGTCAAAAATTAATAATAATTAAATAATACAACACCTAAGAAATTCAGGCATCATTATTACACTTAGGTGCAAAATCAAGAGAAATAAGAAGAAAAACACTAGTCAAAAATTAATAATAATTAAATAATACAACACCTAAGAAATTCAGACATTATTACACTTAGGTGCAAAAGCAAGAAAAATAAAATGAAAGAAATAATAGTAAAAAATTAATAATAATTGTCAATGTTTCCTCTAAGAAATTCAGACAACTTAAGACGACTATTTGGGGTAAAAGTAAGAGAAATAAGAAATCATTTAAAATTTGAATTTTTCAATTTTTATGTAACAAACAATATAAAAAAATGACAAAACTTAAAGAATTTATACATTTGTAACTTATAAAATTGCTATTTTTTAAATATTAAATTATTAAGTTTTTCATATATTTTATGCATTTTGAACTGAGAAAACTAAAACTGACAGGAACAAGCATAGAAATATAAACAAAATTCATCTTGATTCTTTTCGGAGAAAAGACAAGGGCTAGGGTAAGGATGGTAAAGCCAGAGGCAAGCAAAAGAAAGCTTTTATTTATATTGCCAGATTCCCAAGAAAATTCTTTCTTAATTTAATATTAAACTTAATTTTCCAAGTATGCAATTAATAAATAAATAAAAATAAAAAGAATAATAAAATGAAAAAAAAATAAAGCAATATACAAAAAGCTGGTTAACAGAAAACCTTCGCCACCACTTCTACAACCCCCACCACCACCACTACTACTACCATCATTACCACCACCACCTCAAACACCACCACCACTACTACTACCATCATTACCACCACTACCTCAACCACCACCACCACTACTACTACAACTACCACCACCATTACCACCACTACTATTACTACCACCACCTACACCAAAACTACCTCCACTGCCACCATTCCAATTTTAGTTAAAATGTGCATAAAAAAAAGAAGATTGATTTATATTATAAAAGAAGCGTCAATTCTTTATCCATCACACACTGTGTGTGTGTGACTTTGCATGTAATACGTAATGTGTGCATGTCTGGGTTGTGTTTCACACACACACACACACATGTACACAATTTGACTGAGTTTCAAATAAAACAAATATTACCTTCTCCCACTCAGCCTAGACAACCCCTATCCTGAGCTAAATAATAAAATCATACATTAGAAGTCAAAAAAAAAAAAAATTTTTGAAACCCTAGAAAATCAGATAATTATAGGATTTTATGGAACATTTCAGAAATTATTTGATGATAAATAAAATTATTTTTTAATATACTTATTTTTTTAAATTTTAGAAATATTTTTAAGCCTATCATTGGATTAAAATTTATATGGACATGGGCTTACAATCATATCACGTTCAAACACCAGTTCTTATATAATCACTGAAGTTAAGCAACATTGACCCTGGTCAGTACTTAGATGGGTAACTACTTGCAAATACCAGCTGCTGTAAGCTTGGATGTGCAGGTGGTGTAATGAATAATGGAGAGCCAACTTTCAATTCCAGTTGAGTTTATTATATTCACTTATGCATAAATATCCTTGGAAAAGGTATGAATCCATCTCTTACTCCCCAGCTAGGGGTTAATTAGTAGAACTTTTATCAATAAAAATCATTATTAAACCCCACAAAATTCTTACACTCTAAAAATATTTTCTAGCATTAAGTAACCTACAAAGCCTGCAAAAAATAAATCAGTCAATTAAAAAATGCATGCACACATGCAAAACGTCTTTGCTATGACAACTAATTTTTCTTTGTATCTGACAACAATCCCAAAGTAATAGGAAAAGAGTTTTCCTTCCATATTTAAAGTGAATATATTTTCTAATAAATGTAGTATTTTAAATGTATAAGCAAATGGAAACAAAAAGACACATTTAATATCAGAGAGATTAACTGAAATTTCTAGGGCACATCATGTGAAAAGAGGCCTTGGAAAATTTGATACTTGCAGAATATAATGAAGGCAAGCGGTACAAAAGAAAACACTGCATAATCTTACCTAATAAGCTTGTGCAAATAGATGACACAGCAGGGTTTTGGAGAGATTACAAAAAGATAAAATTTACTAAGGACAGAAATTGTGGAGAGCCACGATTGCCAACGTCTTGAAGGAACATATAAGAAGAATGAGCTTGTGTAATTGGGTGGCAGAACAGGGTTAAGGAGAAATAACAAACAGACAAAATTTATTAAGAGCTACAAAGGAGAGGAAATTGTGGAGAGCCATGATCATCAACGTCTTGAAGCGATATGGCGCATAGAGTAAGAATGACTGTGTAAATGGATGGCAGAACAGAGTTTAGGAGAAATAACAAACAGACAAAATTTATTAAGAGCTACAAAGGAGAGGAATTTGTGGAGAGCCATGATCATCAACGTCTTGAAGCGATATGGCGCATAGAGTAAGAATGACTGTGTAAATGGATGGCAGAACAGAGTTTAGGAGAAATAACAAACAGACAAAATTTATTAAAAGGAGAGGAAATTGTTGAGCTACAAAGGAGAGGAAATTTAGGAGAAAATAACAAACAGACAAAATTTATTAAGAGCTACAAGGAGAGGGAAATTGGATCATCAACGTCTTGCGATATGGCAAGGATGTAAATGGATGGCAGAACATTTAGGAGAAATAACAAACAGACAAAATTTAAGAATTGAGAGCCATGATCATCAACGTCTTGAATGGATGGCAGAACAGAGTTTAAAATGGATGAAACAGAGTTTAAGAAATAAAAACAGACAAAATTTATTAAGAGCTACAAGGAAATTGAGAGAAATCATGTCTTGAAGGATATGGCGCATGAGTAAGAATGTCTAAATGGATGGCAGAACAGAGTTTAGGAGAAATAACAAACAGACAAAATTTATTAAGAGCTACAAAAGACAGGAAATTGTGGAGAGAACTGAACGAAGGAATATGGCACATAGAAGAAGAAGAAGAAGAAGAAGAAGAAGAAGAATGAACTTGTGTAAATGGATGGCAGAACAGAGTTTAGGAGAGATAGCAAAAAAATAAAATTTATTAAGAGCCACAAAGGACTGGAAGTTGTGGAGAGCCATAATTGTAAACGTCCTGAAAAGCAACAGGTACCAAACCAGTAAACAATTAAAACTATTAAAAATAGTTATGCATATATACACACATACTCTACTATTAATTTTTGTCTTTATTCTGCTATCCATTCACACAAACTCATTAAATCAGTTATTCACTTTTTCCCAAACTTCTCTTATGATCAATATATTGACCAATAAATGGACCTTCCATTCTCCATCTGGCATGTGTGAGTGCTGGAGTAGTGGTTTATATATCCATCTGTCTAACATTCTTTTTCATATGCCTGTAATACCAGATGCAGGTATGAGGTCACATACTTCTGCATTCAGAGGCTGGGACTCTCTCCAGGTCAACCTTCTGGTAAAATACCATGCAAGAATCCCTAAAATGATTGCTTTAAAATATGTGCAGAAAAAAAAAATACAGAAAATAAAATGAAAAAGGAATATAAATTAATTTAAAAAACATTTTTTATTTATATAAAAAATAGAATTTGAATTAAAAGAAGCAGAAAAAAGATTTAAAGTAAAAAGAGCTTTTAGCTTCAAGGATTTTGATTGTCTTGTTTGGGTTTGAAATCTACCAATAAAGAATTTGTTCTCTTTTGATGGCTAAAACTGATTTACAAAATGCTAGTTTGTTGCCAAAGTAATTAAAGTGTTAATGAGATTTTTTAAATTTAATTATTGAAGTAATGTATGGGTGTTAACAATGGGTGGGTAGGGAGTGTGAAACATGCTTGAAATTAGTGGAAAGAAAGAAAGAAAGAAAGAAAGAAAGAAAGAAAGAAAAAAAGAAAGAAAGAAAGAAAGAAAAAAAGAAAGAAAGAATTGAAATTAAAGCAAATGGCAACATGATAAAGAAGGAACAAGAAGAAAGAAAGAAAGAAAGAAAGAAAGAAAGAACATAGTGTAAAAGAAAGTAAGAATTGAAATGAAAGCAAATGGCAACATGATAAGAAAGAAAGAAAGAAAGAATTGAAATGAAAGCAAATGGCAACATGATAAGAAAGAAAGAAAGAATTGAAATGAAAGCAAATGGCAACATGATAAGAAAGAAAGAAAGAAAGAATTGAAATGAAAGCAAATGGCAACATGATAAAGAAGGAACAAGAAAGAAAGAAAGAAAGAAAGAAAGAAAGAAAGAAAGAAAGAACATAGTGTAAAAGAAAGTAAGAATTGAAATGAAAGCAAATGGCAACATGATAAGAAAGAAAGAAAGAAAGAATTGAAATGAAAGCAAATGGCAACATGATAAGAAAGAAAGAAAGAAAGAATTGAAATGAAAGCAAATGGCAACATGATAAAGAAGGAACAAGAAAGAAAGAAAGAAAGAACATAGTGTAAAAGAAAGTAAGAATTGAAATGAAAGCAAATGGCAACATGATAAGAAAGAAAGAATTGAAATGAAAGCAAATGGCAACATGATAAAGAAAGAAAGAAAGAAAGAAAGAAAGAAAGAAAGAACAGTGTAAAAGTAAGAATGAATTGAAATGAAAGCAAATGGCAACATGATAAAGAAGGATCAGGGGAAAAGAAAGAAAGAACATATTGTAAAAGAAAGAAAGAAAAGACATGGGCTAAAAGGAAGGAAGAAAGGAAGGAAGGAAAAAGAAATATCATCAAATAAAAGAAAGAAAGAATAGTGAGTGCAGGAAAGAAGGGAAAAAGGTGACTGTAAAAGATAAAGAAAGAACAGAAAGAAAGTAAAATAAATAATGGTATGAATGGTCAAAATAAAAAAGAAAGGTCAGAAAGAAAAAATGAAGGAAAAAAAGACACAAAAGAAAGAAATTAAAAAAGAGTTATTAAAGGTAAAATACGAAGAAAAAAAAAGGAATGAAAACAATGAGGAAAAATAAAAGAAAATTAGAAACAAAATGAAGGAATAAAAAATAAATGAATTCTTTAATCAGAGTCAAATTGTAATTAAAGCAGAGCAAATATCCTTATTAATCATGGGTGAGGGAAGTGTGTTTACTCGCATGATCACCTTGCTGTAAATCATTCTGCAAAGAGAGCATAAACTTTTCTTCATCAAGCAACTTTATTCAACTACACAATTTTTTTTCCCCTGTTTTGTACAACTTCAGTGAGATTGTAAATATTGCTATCTTGGATAGAATTCTTTTTTCCAGAATTTTCCAGGAAATTTTTTTTTTCTCTATGGAAGATATATGAGGCCAGGTAAACAATTATCTCCTGTGAATGCTCAATTATATGTTGTCATGATAATATATGAAGGATATTTGTTCAGGCACGATAAGAATGGTTAATGTTGTTTTCATACGCAACATTATCATTTCCTTTTTTTCATATAATAGTGTTGATACTTTGCTATCGTCCACTTGTTTTCCTTCTGATAATGTTGCAAATACAATTTGCGATTGCAGGAGTTTTCTTCTTGCTCTGCAGAAAATTATATTTGCCTGAGACAGAAAAAAAAAAAACAAAAGCAAAGAATTCTGGAGAATTTACAATCATATACAGCAAATAATGTATGTTTACCTATTACGAATATATTACAGTATAAATCTAATAAAGATATTGTGATATTTACAAAAGTTCATTGTATTTGCTTATTCGGATACACATGTAAGATAATAATACAAAAAACAAAAGATGATTTACGAGCTGTGGAGACTGCATTCAGTCAATTATTTTGAAACATAATGGGACTTTCAAAATATTCGAGTGTATCAAAAGTATTTGAAAATCTTTCAAGAGCTCTTACATGATATATCTTATATGTTTTTCATTAGAATAACAAAAGATGCCTTCCAAAAGCTAAGTAAAGTATTATGAAACAGAAAAGAGTACTTAACTGTTTTTTGTTTGTTTGCTTTTTTTTTTTTTTACAAATGTTCACCCAATACAAGGCCCAAGAGCCACTCAAGGTAGAGTGATGTATGAATGTAAGAACAGGCAGGAAGTGAAGTTCTTCAGGCTATGCAGGAAGGATAACTGCTAACTCTCAACTTGAAGGAATCAAGATTTAATTAGTGAATAACATTTTGGTTGGAGATGTTAGAAGCATCATGTGGAAGTACAATTTAGAAGGAACTGGAAATCCAATACTAAACAGGAAACAAGGGATAAACCTCTACTTCTGTTTAAAAAAAAGCAGAGGAATGTGAACCAAATGATATGAAAACCTCTCTCCTGCTACTGTTATGTAATATCAGTCCTCCTATATGTCAGTGATTGCTGGACAATCTCTTCACAGATAAAGAGACTTGAAGCAACAGAAACAAAGAGTACTGAACTGTTATGTAATATCAGTCCTCCTATATGTCACTCCTATATGTCAGTGATTGCTAGACAATATCCTCACAGATAAAGAGACTTGAAGCAACAGAAACAAAGAGTACTGAACTGTTATGTAATATCAGTCCTTCTATATGAGAGTGAATGCTGGACAACCTCCTCAAAAATGAAGAGACTTGAAGCAACAGAAACAAAGAGTACTGAACTGTTATGAAACAATATGAGAGTGAATGCTGGACAACCTCCTCAAAAAATGAAGAGACTTGTAAACAAAAGAGTACTGAACTGTTATGTAATATCAGTCCTTCTATATGAGAGTGAATGCTGGACAACCTCCTCAAAAATGAAGAGACTTGAAGCAACAGAAACAAAGAAAAAAGTACTAAACTGCTATGTAATATCAGCACTCCTATTTGACAGTGACTACCAGATAATCTCCTCAAAGATGAAGAAGAGACTTAAAACAACAGAAACAAAGGAACTAAACAGAAATATGGTTCTACAGACTGATGCTGAGAATATCATGGACTGAACATAGGAGTTTTAGAGAAAATGGAAACAAAAAAGATGCTTATACTTAACATCAGAAAGAGATACCTGAAATTTCTCGGGTACATAATGAGGAAAGAGGGCTTGGAAAATTTGACAGATATACAAAAGGGGCATTGGAAAACAGTACATAACCTACCTAACAAGCTTGTACAAAGGGATGGTAGAACAGGGTTTAAAAATACCAAAAAGAATGATGAAGTACAGAAAATTGTGAAGAGTCATGATAGCTAATGTCCTCAAGGGACATAGCACATAGAAGAAGAATGCTTTACAGAGTATCTTTCAACTGTACAAGCTTTTCTGCTAGTAAAAGAGGCAGCCCAAGGTGTGAACTAAAGGGTGTTTCATTAAGATGGATTATATATAAGGGTATTTCAGTAAGATGAATCAAAGTCAGCTGTAAATAATGTTAATGGTGAAAATTTATTTATTTCTCTATTGGATCATGTTATTTAAGTCATGGCAATTATGTATGAAAAAATATCACCCAAATGTCTGCCAAATCTGAAAGAAAAAGAAAAAAATCATTAGATGCTTAAACTTAATTCACATTTAAAATCTATCCAAGTTATTAGAACACCCTTTATATATTGGGGATATCAAAATCAAGCACGTATAAAAATATTTGGCATTATTTAATTCTTTAATATTTTTTTTCTTTTTCAATTTATTTTTAAGTAAAATCTACTCTAATCATGTAGAAACTGTTAAGAGGCCTTTTTTAATTTAATAACCGAGAACATTTCAAATGCTTTCCTACATTTATAAAAACCTTTTCTATATTTTTAATTTATGCAATTACTCTACCTATAGCTGCCAAAGCTATATTTTCAATCACAGTAAACATTTACATACTGTATTTTCTGACTTACAAGGTGCTGAGGCTTGGAAGACACACCTTAATATTGGAAAGAAATTTCTAAGAAAACAAGTCATTCTCATACAACAACACATTCACCGTGCATCCCTCACATACTGGCACCATGTTTACATTAATCACTCATCTGATTTTGTTTGTATGGCAATGACATACTAGTCAAAAGCAGAAAGGCTCCCACTGCTGCTAGTAAACAGAGCATGTTTAAGCTTGTGGCTCAGCTCCAGGAAGGTTTATAGTCATGGAAATACTTGTAACAGCTAAGTACTGAGGTTACATCATATAAAAAGTTGAATTAGATAGCTAGCTAGCATTATAGTGTAATGACTCAATATACAAATCCACATCCCTGTTGTTAGTTTTGTTTCATGTTTTAACTGAGATGTATTATTTCTGTGGTTTGAATACTAGTAGGAATGTTTATTCTGTGTCTTCCCACATGGCTGGAATCCAAGTGAGCATCTTTCTATTATTAAAAACCTTTCAGCACTCCACTCCAAATGTTAAACAAGGTAAGGTTGATAAAGAGATGTTTTCGGTAATTTGACTTACATAGAACTAGTATTCAAAACCACTTTGTCATACTTTTTCCCTATATATATATATATATATATATATATATATATATATATATATAATAAAGGAAGAGGTTATAGTAGTTCCAATGAGAAAAGTGTGTATATTAAAAAGAAGAGAGAAACTGCAAACGTTTTTGGTTGTAATGTGGATTTTTTTTTTTTTAAAATATATTATTCTTTATTTTCCATAATTTTGCTACACGTGTTTCTGGCCTTGTGACCTTCATCAGACAAAAAGTGGATATTTCCAGATATTATTAAAAGGAATTAATTTTTCTTATGTTTTTCAATGTTAAATATTCTTGATATTAGACATTCTCTTTTTTGTTTGTTAGGGACCCAAATGTCTTTCTTGAACTGTATTAATATATATATATATATATATATATATATATATATATGTTGGCCTAATAAGTTTATCTGCCCTTTGACAGTTGTTATTTTTTGTTTTGTGGGATGATATGTCACACTTTTAACCAGCAAAAATCTAGTGAAGAGGCCGTTTTAGATGACAACCACATATCGATGTGGCAGGCAATACTGGGTTACATGCTACCAGTATCTGGGCTTAAGCCTGACCTGACCTTAAATGAAATAAACTTTGGTGCAAAGGTAAATACTAAAACTACTTTGATGAACCCTAATAATAGATAGAAAAATATGTGTCTCAGATAATGTACAGAATAAGAAGAACCAATTCCACTTGTGATCTTTGCTATCTTCTGAACCATTCTTTCAGTTACTTCCATATTTTGTCTACTATTTACTCTCTCATTCTCTCTCGCTCTCTCCCTCATTCTCTCTCTATATATATATATATCTTTCTCTCTCTCTCTCTCTCTCTCTCTTGCTCTCTTTTTCACAAAAGAAAATTTCCCATCTTTGGCAACATAAATAGAAAAGTGGTAAGTTTCTACTTTGCAACTAAGTACGTCTGAGGAGATTGGAAATGATTTAAAAGAAGTTGTGTTTACAAGAAAGGCTGCTGTGAGCTGCAGTGGCTTTGAACACTATTTAGTCTGTATACAAATGTAAGCATGAAACTTACATACATATTTATTTAGGTCGTTTGAATGTGTCGCTTTAAATGCATTCATCCATATTAATACAGGACTGCATGGAGAAAGACGACGAGCATGCATTTACCTTAGAAATTGTTTATATTGTTCCAATAATATAATATATATATATATATATATATATATATATATATATATATATATATAACACTAGGTTTTAGAAATATGAAAAACATTCATATTCTTAATGCTAATATGGGCTTATATATAGATAGAATAAAAGCTATATATATATATATATATATATATATGTTTTCACTATTTACATTGTTTGGACTGTTGTCTTCATCTTTGTTGCCATACTCACCATATCTGTCTATATATATATATATATATATATATATATATATATATATATTAAGACTGTTGATCACACACATATATATATATATATATATATATATATATATATAATATGGGCTTATATATATAGAGAGAATAAAAGCTAAATATATATATATATATATATATATATATATATATATATATATATTATATATATATATATTATTTACATTGTTTGGACTGTTGTCTTCATCTTTGTTGCCATATTCACCATATCTGTCTATATGTATATATATATATATATATATATATATTAAGACTGTTGATCAAACACACACACACTATATATATATATATATATATTAAAAAGAAAGGTGCATAAACGTTTTTTGTAATGTGGATTTATTGAAAAATTAATTATTTTACATAATTTCCCGATGGTCTGTTCTAAATCTTCAGGTGAAAGTGAGACATTTTACATATTATTAAAAATAATTAATTTTCTTCAAATTCAATGTGGGAATATTCTCGATATAGAAAATCTCCACATTCAATTTGTTCACGTTTCTAGAAGGAAATTCGGATTTACAAAGTATAATATTTTTTCTCAATAAATCCACCTTTTATTCAAAACGTTTCATGCACCCCTCTTCTTTTAATATACATAAAACTCGTTGGAACCACTACAACATATTTCTTTTTATATATATATATATATATATATATATATATATATATATAATATATATATATTTATATATTTATGAAAGTTATTAGCCTAACCCATTTCTTAAAATCTAACAAAATGATTGAATATCAAATTTTTCTTAGTTCTTATATATATTATAATATTATGAATTAACTGAGTTAAAATATGGTTTCTTTGCTACACATTAATAACCATGTTTTAAAAGAACATATAAATTCATAACAGGAAATTATGAATTTATATGTGCGTTTAAATCTCAGTAAATTTAAAAATAAGTTATTCTAAAATTTGCTGGAAGATGAAACAGAACGAATGCTTTTAATTTAATCATATAATTAAATTTGAAGTTTTTAGCTTCAGGTTTTGAAACATGGTTATTCCTGTGTAGCAAAGAAACCATATTTTAAATCAGTTAATTTATAATATTTATGCTCTGTAAATTTACATTCAGCACTGTTTTTTAAAAATAAAGAATATCAATAAAACACTGGACTATATATCTTACTGTTCTTTCTTTTCATATATATATATATATATATATATATTTTTCTTGCCATATTCATGGTGTGTTGCCCTTTGTAGACTCCAGCCTTCTTCAGGTGACTGTAATTCGAAACTGAGCCCTTTATTTTGTCCACCAAGGTAGATTGCTCTAGTTCCACGTGCCCTGCCTCTTCTGGAGTAGACTTTGAGAAATGGGTCAAGCTAATAACTTTCCAGTAACCCTCTTAAATAAAATAAAAATTTAGTTTTATGGTATACTTTTTTATCATTAAAAGTGCTACATGAGTGATAGAGCATATGTAAATACAAAAGTGAATATTTTATGAGTTCAACACCAAGTGATGACAGTCTGTTTCATGCTTCAATGCCATCTTCAGGCCAGGTCTGTTGTGTTTTAGCTCAGCTATTTATATATGCTGGACAGTGGTGCATTATGAGTAGTAAGGTCTATTGTATTATCTTGATGGGTATTGGGTGGGTGGTAATGGTTATATTGTTTTTTTGTTTTTTTCATAACTATTTTTAACTTCCATTTTCGTTTTATGTCTTTCTTAATTTGTACTTTCCTTTCTGTTTACCTCTTTTTCTAGACTTTTTAATCTTTCTGTTTACCCCCTCTTTAACATTCTTTCTTTCTTTCTTTCTTTCTTTCTTTCTTTCTTTCCCCATCATTTATTTCTAATTTCTATCTTTTCTTTGATATTTTCCTTTTCCTTAACACTTCTTTTTTTCTTCTTTTCTTTCTTTCACCATCATTTATTTCTTGAATCTTTCTTTCTTTTCTGTCTTCATTTCCTTTTGTTTTCTACATCTTTCCTTTCTTTCTTTCTTTTTTCTTTCTTTTTCATTTATTTCTAGACCCTTTCTTTTCTTTCCCACATCTTTTCCTTTCCTTTCCCATATTTTTTCTTTCCTTTTCCTTTCTTTTCTTTTTCTTTCTTTCTTACTTTATCATTTATTTCTAGGATCTTTCTTTCCTTTTTCCCATCTTTTCCCTTTTTCCCACATCTTTCTTTATTCCTTTCTTTCTTTCTTTCTTTTTGCATCATTTATTTCTTGACACTTCCTTTTCTTTCCCTCATCTTTTTCTTTTCTTTGCCACATTCTTTCTTTCATTCTTTCTTTCTTTCTCCATCATTTCTTTCTTTCTTTCTTTCTTTCTTTCTTTCTTTCTTTCTTTTCTTTTCTTTTCCCATCATTTGTTTCTAGACACTTTTTTATCCTTTCTCTCATCTTTTCCTTCTCTTTCTTTCTTTCATCTACTTTATTTGTCCTTTTTCTTCTTTTCGGTTTTTTCCACATCTTTCATTTTTAGCTTTAAAGCTTTCTTCAATCTTAACATCTTCATTCATTTCTACAGATTCTTTTTTTTCGATTTGCTATTTTCTTTCTCTTTCTCTCTTGCTTTTTTCTTTTCTTTTATCCCATTTTCTCTTTGAATTTCTATTTTTTACTCCTTCAGAATCCTTCCTTTTTTTCACTTTCCTTTTGTTTTTCCCTCTTCACGTCTTCTTTCTCTATTTTTTCTATTTTCTATTCTGTCCCCTTCTTTTCTAAACCTTTCTTTCTTTCTTTCTTTCTTTCTTTCTTTCTTTCTGCTACATCATCTTACCTCTCACCTTAAATTCCCTCCCTCCCTTCCTTCATCCGTAAAAGGACCAAAACTTGTTCTATTGAGTGATATTTAATCTCGGATCATCCTGCGGCTGCTTCAAGTAATCTTAGCGAGGATCAGTGGCACACATCAAACTTTACTCTTTCCTTCTATCTTAGCCCTTCCAACAGGCACCTCCATATCAACCATGCAAACCGAATAAACATTTACATCGTCATAGAACACTACATAGAAAAGCCATTCTCTGAAAGACGAAGGCAAGTTAAGAATGCAGAAACAAAGGTGAAAAAAAGGAAATCAAAAGACATTGCTTTCGCCTGCTGATCGTACAAAAGGTGGAGGTCCACTTCAAGTTCTGTGATTGATCTATTCTGGAATCAATCACTTGACCTTCAATCGGTAACTAATCAACTTGAATGAAAGCCCCATTGAAAACTGTCTGAGTGGGTAGATAGACTATTGATCTGTTGGTACCTTTCTCTCTCTTTAGTTCTGCTTTCAAATGTTAATATTTGTTTCTCTATTGAATGTTTGCATGCATTTGCTTATAGTTTGGAATATTCAAATCAACTGGCCACTCTGAAAATCTGTGTAGAAACTTGAGTCTTAAAAATGGAGTCTACAAAAGATAATTTATAGTAAAATTATTAACAATGCATTTCCATATATTATCAGTAATACTTGTATTCATTTCTGACCACTGACAATCCCTGATTTTCAAGGCATTTTTATAATAAAATCCCGAGGAGTCACGGTGGAAAGCAGCTCGGATTGAGGAATCAGAGGGCTGAGTTCAAATTCATGTCGAACCCAATTACATTCACTTACGGTATGAATTCGCTTCTTCTCCCTTGCAGAAAGAAATGGCAACCTACTGTGGGAAAAAATCTGCTTCGTCAATCAGGTATCATGATACATGATTGCCTAAGCATGTATCATGCATGGCGCATAACTGACTGATTCTGTCAATCCCTTTTTTTCCTGATTTTCAAACATTTTTATAGTAAAATTATTAGCTTTGTATTTACTTTATACATATAATAGCTCTGTTCTGTCAGTAATCTTTAAATTTATTCCTGATCCCAGACAATCTATTTTTCGTGATTTTTAATGACTTTTTAGAGTAAAATTATTAGCTATGCATTTACCTTATATATACAATAGCCTTATTCTGCCAGTAATGCTTGCATTCATTCCTGGCCCCTGATTTTCAATGATACTTTATAGCAAAATTATTAGCCATGCATTTAGTGACCCCTGATTTTCAATGATACTTTATTGTAAAATTATTAGCCATGCATTTAGTGGCCCCTGATTTTCAATGATACTTTATAGTAAAATTATTAGCCATGCATTTAGTGACCCCTGATTTTCAATGATACTTTATTGTAAAATTATTAGCCATGCATTTAGTGACCCTTGATTTTCAATGATACTTTATAGTAAAATTATTAGCCATGCATTTAGTGACCCCTGATTTTCAATGATACTTTATAGTAAAATTATTAGCCATGCATTTAGTGACCCCTGATTTTCAATGATACTTTATAGTAAAATTATTAGCCATGCATTTAGCGCCCCATGATTTTCGATGATACTTTATAGTAAAATTATTAGCCATGCATTTAGTGACCCCTGATTTTCAATGATACTTTATAGTAAAATTATTAGCCATGCAATTAGTGACCCCTGATTTTCGATGATACTTTATAGTAAAATTATTAGCCATGCATTTAGTGACCCCTGATTTTCAATGATACTTTATAGTAAAATTATTAGCCATGCATTTGGTGACCCCTGATTTTCAATGATACTTTATAGTAAAATTATTAGCCATGCATTTAGTGACCCCTGATTTTCAATGATACTTTATAGTAAAATTATTAGCCATGCATTTAGTGACCCCTGATTTTCAATGATACTTTATTGTAAAATAATTAGCCATGCATTTAGTGACCCCTGATTTTCGATGATACTTTATAGTAAAATTATTAGCCATGCATTTAGTGACCCCTGATTTTCAATGATACTTTATAGTAAAATTATTAGCCATGCATTTAGTGACCCCTGATTTTCAATGATACTTTATTGTAAAATTATTCGCCATGCATTTAGTGACCCCTGATTTTCAATGATACTTTATAGTAAAATTATTAGCCATGTTCAGTGGAAGAAACAGACACACAGTAGAAAGATAAATAAACTAGAGCGTGCATTCCTAAATAGTTCAGCATGCCACATAGATGCAACAGAAGAGGATAGCATGTGAAAGACAATCAAAGATTTAGAAACCATTTCAAAAAATTCATATGACAAAAATAGATATGATTTTAAAATTTAAAATATTATTATGGATTACTTGTAATTGCATGCATGAGTCCCAGTATAAATATTTATAAATAATTATAATTTATAATTATGATATTTAGCATTATATCAAATATTATGAATATAGGGCTCACAAATTGGAGGAGAGATTTATCAATGATAATCTTCTGACTTTTAATCTGGAGTTATCTCCCTTTAACACTCTCTATGATTTTTATTTTTAAATGTACTTTTATCACATAAAATTTTGTGAGCAAATTTTAATTCTGAAAATGTGGCTGAGAGAAAAAATCATTTAACAACCACTATATTAGAGCATGTAAACTGGTATGAGTTATCACACCTAAGCATGGAAAGTGGCAATGAAACTGTTACCATAACAGTAGTAGCAATAATAAAAGTTATAATAGCAAGTATAGGAAACAATAGTAAATTACCTTTAGTCAACCAATGGATTCCATTTAAAAAATTACTGTTCATAAATAGGGGTTTGAAATCAATAAAACCTTCAGATTAATAGAAAAATAATTTCCAAAATTTTAAAAATATTTTTAATGCAATTTCACACCTTTCATAAAGTACTTTGCCTCTTAAAAACAAAAATTTTTTTCCTGTTGAAAAAATCATCCCCAAAAAAGAAATTCAGAGAATGACCTCTTTTAAAAAGGCCCCTAATAAAATATCACATGCAGTATCTTAAATTTGGAATTGATTTATTTTATATAATGCAAAATTTAAAATTACAGCATTTGCAGATTCTACCCAATTTTAATATGTTGCATTATTTGAACAATGCATACAACATTATTCTTCTCTAAAAATGTCCAGGGTAAATTGATAGGAAATTAGATAAAACCATATTTTTTTTTAGTCTGCATATTGCAAACATTGTCGTCTTGTACTATTTTAATGCAATGCCAAACTCACCCTCTCTTCCTTGTTTAAGCCCCCAAATTTGCAGCATTGTCTAGAAAATTATATTAATCCATCTTCACAAAAATATTCATGATTCTACTCTAGGAAATCTCAAAAGTCTTTGAGATAGATGGAAAGTCAGATAGACCATTTAGGAGTTAACCCAAACACCGTCAACTCTAAGTCTTCTTTGCATTGTTGTTTTTTGGTTCCATTCTATTTTCTTTTGTCCTTTAAAGCATGTAGTCTGCAGCCTTGTCTGTAATATTACATTATTTATCCAAATTGAGAATATTCATGATGCACTCTGAGGTAATTTGACAAACTAACTTTATATTTTGGCATCTGGCAATGTTGAGGAATATTAATAAATGTGTACAACGGACACAAAGAAATGATGGAAAGAAAAAATACTTAGCTTCACTTCATAACATGGGGATGATGCAAGAGTTATGAAGTAAAAAGCAAAAAACAAAACCCAAAATGGATTCAATGTAGAGGTGTGATAAAGAAGAAAAAGTTTAATAAATATGGCTGCCCCCTTTTCTTTATTATTATCTTTTTATGGTTCATCGTCTTTTGCTGTATAAAAAAAGGAGGTAAAACTCATTCTTATCCTGTGGGACTTCATTCTCTTTCAGGAAGGAAAAACAATGAACTAAAGAAAGAAAAAAAAAATCAAAGAAAATTAAGAAGTTGTGATTTTTTTTTTACATTATTTACAATGATGTTAGAGGCTTGTGACAGAGGTCAGCAAGAAGGGTCAGCAAACTCCTAGGAATTCTGGGACATCATACATTACCTAGTGAAATAAATGTTGGAAGTGGTGGGGAAGAAATGCTCCAAGCTGGCTTAAAAGAAACAAAAAGACAAAAAACACATGGAAATCTTTATATTAAGTAGGGAAAAACTTGACAAGAAATTCTTGAGGAAAACTCGGATGCTAAGTATTAAAAATATGGCTTATGGGGAGAAAATCAAACAAAAGAAACTCACCAAATAAAATGATGTATAAAATAAACCAGTTAATAAAATTAAAGTAGCATATATATACATATGCGTGTTGATAGATAGATAGATAGATAGATACATAGATAGATAGATAGATAGATAGATAGATAGATAGATAGATATTGAGAATTAGATAGATAGATAGATAGATAGATAGATAGATAGATAGATATTGAGAATTAGATAGATAGATAGATAGATAGATAGATAGATATTGAGAATTAGATAGATAGATAGATATACTTTTTAAAATACTGATAATAACAGAGGAAATCATCTTGAGTATAAATAAAGAGGTAATAAAACATTCAAAATAGATGAATTATAAACATTAAGAAAAAATATTCAAAGCAAATAGATAGACAGACAGACATGAAAATACTAATACATAATGTTGGTACAAGTGAATGGCCCAAATGAATTCTTGAAAACTGACAACTCTTTCCATTGACACTTTGATGAGAACTTTCTTTTTATAAATTGGAAATCAGAACTTGTTTACATTTTCTTTTGCTTTCTCCCCACCTTCCCCAATCCCCCCACCCCCCACCATACCCATTTTTTTTTACTTTTCTTGTAATCTTTACTTTTGTCTACATCCACCCAAGGCAAACTTTACTCTTATACATCATGAATCATATTCCTCTCAAATAAGTTTGATTCCTGATTTATTTTCTTTCTTTTTGGGGGGTTGGTGGGGGGGGGGTAAACTTTTTTCTTTTTTTCTTTTTTCACTTTGGATTGTTTGTTCTTTTCTTTCTCTGTCCTTCATATTCTCCTACAACTTTTCTATGTTTTCCTTCATTTTCTTAAGTCAGT